AATGCGGGGCTGTATAGGTCCCAGGCCATCAGGAACCTTGTGGTACATCCTTTGGCAGTGAGCCTCCTGCCTAAACTCCACAGCAAGGGTATCACCATAAATATTTCAACAGAGACACCAAGAGGAAGCAGCACTTTATAGTTCTCACTGCTGTGCTCAACTAAAGCCAGTTTGAAGTTACAAATAATATCCTTTTTTTACGTATTTCTTCTAAATAACTACCAAATCACTTGTTTTCAGTGATAAGAAGCCACCACCACCATCCATGCTTTTCTTTTTGTCACTTTCTTTCTGTGGTTGTTTTCATGCCCTTAGATAGTCCTACCTTCATTTTGAAGATGTCACAATAACTGCCTTCTCATTGCACCTTGCACAGTCCAGCCTTGGATTTATGATAATAGGATTGACAGCAGTTATAAGGATGTTTTATAAGCCTTCCTTGAGTGAGCTCCCTACTGCACAGCAGCTTTCAGTCACAAGCAGGACATAGTTGAATTATTCAGATAGGATTTTACATACTTATTCAGTTCTGCCACAGAGGCAGTGACAGGCATGAAATCACCTTAGCAGTGGCTGCTATGACCAGGAATAAGGAGGTGAATAAGAAGTGTCACTCCAAGCTGACTATACTGTAACGCCTCATAGAGAAAGAAGCTTTTAGGAGTTGACCCTAGAGGGCTGAAATTCATCTGTCTGTCCCTTCTTCCCTCCCTATCCCTGTCTGGATTAACACTGGCATAGGGAAAACTTGCTGCCCTTGGGAGGTGGTGGTTAAATTTGCATTACGAATCTCAATGAGTACTTGTTCTATCTCTAAGGCAGTCAGCTGCAGTTCTCAGCCTGCCTGGTGCTGCAGTGGGATGTGGCTTGGGCTTGACTCAAAGGGAAAAGATGTTTGCTGTGTTGCCTTACATTGATCACCTTTACAGATATCTAGCTTGATACCACTCCTTCTCATAGAAGGAATTGCTCCTCTTTTTAGCAGCTGGAGGAAAGTAAGCTCTGCAGGTTTGATGTAATATTGTTTGAAATTCATATCTTTTCAACAGTCTTTGAGGCAGAATTGTAATTATTGATGTTCGTTTACTTAACATAATAGTCACATACAAGGACTGCTTATTTCCTGGCTGAACTTTTTGGGTTTTGGATTTCTATGTTTATGTTTTAACTACTGAGCTCACATTCTCCTATGGATGGTGCAAAACACTAACAATTTATATCACATTCTACATTAAGTGGTTTTGACAATGCACCTGCCTCAGGTAGGTGGTTTATATACTTAATCAGCCAACATAAATTGCTTTGAACACAGCTCACTCTTGCTGGCAGCCAGCAGCAGGTGTAGATTAGATGAGAATTTTGTCTCAGCTGTTCTGGTTTAAATTAAGACAACAGAAGATCAAATGTAAAGCAAGACACAATATTAGTGTGATGCAAGCTCAAAAGGTTTATGCATTAAAATTATCTGGGACCAGGTTCAATCACATGAACTACAGCAGTGATGAAGTAGTGCATAGAACTTTCATTGAATAGCAGTTGCCACCGTTCTGTTTGAAGAAACCATTTCAGGTCATAAAATAAATTGTTCTTTCTCATTACCTCTATATAATCACCTGCTGAGTTTATAGAAAGCTGTATCTTAGTACTTACCCCACACTCAACGTTTGTAATGTAGGTTGTATATAGGTTACTTGGATTCTACAGGTTTTTTATTCACTATCTTCAGAATTACTTGCTTTTCTCATTAAAAGAAAGCTATGGAGTATTAATCTTTTTCTTCAAATATTATTGAAATGACAGGATTTCTTACTTCTCCTGTCATGTCTGACTACAGTAAATCCTTCTCTGTTTCCCTAACAAAGCAAGGCTCCTACAACCATGCTGTCTCTGTAGGTACGTGCTTATCCCTTATGTCTAGCCACAGTAATTTTTTAACTTGTGGGCTGTTTTCAATTCAACTTGACAGAGTAGGAGAGATTGCAAAGACATTTTGATTCTTCTAAGATTGGGAAAATTAGGGATACAAGAAGCTGGGGAAATAGGCAAGTTCTCTGAGGAAGGACTTTCAGCATGACTGTCTTGCCACTCCCATGGGAGGGATACCTTGTAAGGGCCTTGCCTGGCAAAAAGATGCTGCTGGAGATAGATATTAACCATGAGATACCTGGAAATCCTGATTTATGTCATTCTGTTGATTTTAGCCACTGTGTTCACATGAGTCAGAAAGAGTTGGAAAATCTGGCTGCCTGGTGGATGTTCTGCATCCATCCAGTTAACATCTACACAGAGACAAACCTGACTCTAGCTTCCTGTGACTCCTCTTTCTCTCTGCCTGTTTCCCCTCTCTCAGAGGAACTCTGTTCTCTCTAGCCTCAGGGAGCTCTGGTATTTGTGTGGCTGAGTGGTTTTTTTCCTCAAAAAAACTTGCAGTATTCAGAAAATAGTAATAAATACTGCTCTCCATTGCACCAGAAGCAAAATGCCCTGAGACCTGTAATTCCACTCCCATGACCAGCACAAATGTACTTGAAGTTCTCTTTAGTTTAACACTATGCTTTGGTTTTGCCATTGCATTGTATTGCATGTGTAGAAAAAGCTGTGCTGTGTAGAAAAAGCAGAGATAAAACTCGTAGGTGGAAACATAAAGATGTGTTGGAAAAGTCAGCAGAAAAGGGTCCAGCTTTACTTGTGTTAAAGCACTGAAACAATATGTGACGATAAAGAGGAGGAGCAAATTCACAGGATAAATAGTTTCCCTAGTTATTAATAAATGCAGATGAATTTGTTTAATATTCAAATGCTGTGAAAGCCATTTGTTCATTGTCATGAGTGGCATGTATTTGATAACACAAAATAAGCACCTCATCCTCCACCGCTACTCACGCGTGCACAATTCTTCCCATTTAATTCAGCAAGATTAATTATCTGAATTACTGACATTAGCTTGAAGCTATGGATTTGCAGATTGAGTATTGAGTCTCTGGCTTTCAGAACAACTCCTTTAAAGGAATTAGTCATGTCTAAGTACAACAGATCTGTCAAATTGCATCCCCTGGCATTGTCTGACATTTTGGCTGCAAAGCCAGCCTTGTGCAAGACTGTCCTCGTGTCAAAAGACAGTGGTTATCCTAATTTTATGGCTCTGACAACCCTAAAATGGCTCATAAGGGTTGGGCAGTTACCTCACTAGCTGATAGCAGATGGTAGCTGATAGCACTTCACTTTGCCTTCCACCTCACTAATGGACTTTGTCATCCCCACTTCAGGGATGTCTACTGTCTGTCTGCAAACTAGCTCCTGAACTACCCCCATTTTGGTTTAACTTGACATGCAGGCATGAAAACTGCAGTTAATGCACAGATAGATCACAAACCTCTGCCTTGGCAGAAACTACATCAATTAGAGAGATGGGCAGAAAAGAGCAGTATGTCAGGAACTGCTTCACAAGTGGTCTGGGCATCAATGCCTGCAGAGGTGCAACTTTCTGAGACCAGCAAGATGCTCAGCTGGAGCAGGTGCATCCTTGGAATTTTAATGCATGTCCACTGAAAATAAAAGGCAATGCTTATCCTTACAGTCCTGCATTTTGCTATAAATTGAAGTGTTTCAGTAACTCCATCATGTCTGTGCTGCTACTGAGGAAAATACTGGAATTTTTAGGGTCTGGAGCCCTAGTTTATCCAAGATTGACCAATGCAGAGAAGGCAGACAGCAGGGACAGGCCATGTTTAACCAGTGAGGTCTTTAGTCTGTACATCACTTGTCACCCCTTATCTTTGAATGAACTATTCATAATTAAGTAGTGTGACTAAAGATGTGAAATCCTACATGGCAAATACTGAACTTGCACCTCATTTATCTCTTTCAAGTGTTTAATGAATTTTCAGCTTCAGCTAAAGAATAATGGCAATTTCAGGCCCATTGTCCTACACAGGGAAATTAATAATGGCCTAAGGATAGTTTCATACCTAGAAGTATGGTAGAGATTGCCAAAAAGCCAGAATGTGGATTTCTTTCTAGAAGATCCAACATTATCTTTAAATTTGTTCCAGTAGCGTACAGTCCATATTCACAAAGAATCCTGAAAGCACAACATGCAGAAACTGCTCTTTGGGGATAATAAGCAAGCAAAAATTTCCTTCCTTCACCTACCCTGCCATTAGGTTACCATACATTTTGTTTTCCTCAACAGGTCATCTTTATTCATGCAGAAATTTTGACCAAGTTTGACAAAGCTTTTAATTGTTAGCATTATATTAATAACATATAAAAGAAACACAGAAGCCTCATCCTCTCTTCAAAGATATTCTGAAATAAGGTATATTAATTAACAGGAACCAGGAAACTTCCAAGCCCAAGAACATAAAGAACATTCATCACCACCGTTTTCTTTATAGGAAAGGAGCTGTGAATGTTTCTATAATTTCCTATTTCTGTGGAGTAAGAAAAAACAACTCACAGTAAGAGCTGTGAGTTCAATTCATTTTGGCATTCAAGACCAAGTACAGAAGATTAAATGAGGAAAGAGAAGCGTTGACATGAATGAATGTGTACTACGACGCCTACTACTAGTACTTGAAAAAATGGAAACGCACTTAAACTACAGAGGTTTACCTGAAGAAAATGTGCTACGCTTCTCTCATCCATCCAAACTGACCAACTTTCGTTTCTTATTCATGTCTCAAAAATGTTTATTGTTTAAGGAAAATACTGAGAAATAAAAACATGGTTTTCAGTCACAGAAGCAGGAATGTATGTCTTCAAACAATTGTTTAGTCAAAAGAATGTTTTACCTGAAAACACTGCTAAAAGTTCATGGTTGGTTTTCTTCAAGTTCTTAGTCAATTTACCATGACCTACATCTCAGTTCTACTTATGAATATAAAATATGCAGTATTTATGCAGAGAATTAGTGTGTTAATTTTGGTTTTAGACTCAAGTGGGATGAGATAAAGTCATCTTATCAAATACATAATGGCAAATACATAACATGCCATATCCTAACATGGCCAGATACAAGATATGTAAGATTTAATAGCTTGTTGCTGGAGGTGAGTCCCAGTAGCAGCTGCAGTAGCTCCTTGTAGAATCTGATGTTGTTGCTCGAAAGATGGAATAAATTGCTTTTAGAAAAAGAAATCACAGTATTAATTTAAAGATCCTGTCAACAGCTGTAGTCTTCTAGATTTACCAGCTTTTGTAAATGTTTTCTTTTGGAAGTACAGCCCCTGAACCAGATTCCTGCATAGGTTGTACATGCTTGTCATTTCAGAACTATCACTAATCAAGAAAAATAAGGTTGAAAAGAATTCTTCTACTTTTCCATAATGGTCTTTGCAACTTCTAGCTTGATGCTTCTTTGCTACCATATAGCTTCTCAAAAACTCTAGATGTCAATTCCTGTCACATTAGCATTGGGAAGTTTATTTCAGTCTGTGAGTTAACTAGCCTTGCTTTGAAATCATAACCATATTTCAGTGGGAGTGCCTGCAAATGTTTTTATGTAAGTGGCTTTAATCCTGTCGTACGACAATCATTAGGATTATCTTTCTGGAGGCATAACTCATCCTGGAGTCTGCCTGGCAGCTGCTGCAATCACAACCATCAGGCACATGGATGTACAACCAGTAATTAGACAAAGGGCTTTTTTCTGTGAGGAATTTTTCTGAAGGGAAAGACAGTGGGGTTTTTTCAGAAAACTAAATAAAGTGTCTTTAGGTAAATTTGCCATAAGACAGAAGTGACTGCTGCTATTCACCCATATCAGTATTAGAAATTGTGAATGAATAACCTGGTGCTGTCTTCCAGTTGCCCAAGGGCACCAGCTGAAGCCTCAACAGGAGGGAAAGTAAATTATAGCTTTTAGCTATTCTCTCGTACTTTGCTTCTGCTCAGAGTAAGTGAAACTGGTATCACCTTTCAGGTGGAACAGTCCTGGAAAGCTCACTCTGAGAGTCTCCAAGTCAAATTCCTATCTTATAAAAAAGAAAAGGTATTTTCGAAGGCTGCATTTCAAAATGAAACACATTTTCAAAAAGAAAGGTACTTTTAAGTCAATAAAATTCAAAGCATATTCAATTCAAAGTATATTAGAATTTACCCATTCTCCTATTAGTGGTTTCAGTCAGACTGACAGATTGCTGTCTTAGTAATTATTTTAAGCACTGAAACTGTAGAGTTTAGTTCTACCCACTCCTGTCCATTTTTAAGGACTGCAGTATCTTCACAGGAAAAGTATTCCACAGGAATAATGTGGGTATTGTGCTTGTCCAACTGAATCATTTAGTAATTGTTCCCTAAATTTGAAAAACTTTTGTTCCAAAAATGTGTCCAATTTTAGCACAATTTCTCTGAGACAGTTTGCAACACTTCATTTCACGTACTCCTGTGCCAATCTATAAATACTGCTTTTACCAACTGCTATGTCTCATTCTGTTTTGTTCTGCCGAGGTTTTATTCCACACTGAATGTAGTTTTGTTACTGAAATAGATGGTGTTTTTTATCTTTTCTTTTTCTCCTCAGGAATTGCTTTCTGTCTGCCTTTTAAATCACCTCTATAGGAAGCAGTTTAGTTTCTGTGTACTTTTAAAAGGATATATATTCTTTAAGCCCATAATGAGCTTTTCCAAAACATACTTTAAAAAGAATCTGCCACAATAAAACGACTGCATTTAAATAACCATTAAACTTGGACAGTAGAAACAAATCCTCTTTAATTTTTCAAGATACAATTGGGTTTTTCGCTGTGTCAGGTTATAACACTACAAACGAATTGTCAGCAGTTTTGTAGGGGTCAGTTTTACTTACTTAGGTACACACAGGCTCCGAGTCTATGAAATGCTCTGTTGAGAAACCCCATTGAACACAGCTGTCGAAGGATCAAAGGCAAAAGGGTCCAAGCCCATGTAGTATTGTGCTGCTCCCCTCAAAGCTGCCCATGATTCACTAATCTGAAGCAGATCAAGACAGAAAAGAATATTCTGAGCTTTAATACTAAATAAATACTCTCTGTGACTGCTGAGCAGCCTTGCCCATGTTGATAAATCAGAAAAATTTCCTCTCTTGACCCAAAGGATTTATGTTACACATTCATTCCAGACCCATGCTTTCTTTTTCTCAGTAGGTGCTGCACAAGGAAGGAAGAAGATACCTGTTCAGCCACAGTGTATGCCCACGTGTTCTGGCTGCTGCCTGAGTCCCAGTAGCTCGGAGAATATGGTATGTGTCGTTTGAGCCTCATGAATTGATTTGCTGATTCTTCTGCCAGAAAGGGTGCTCCAAGGACACTCGAAACAGAAGCTGATCAATATTTGTAATATCATAAAAATATGTTAGAATGTGCACTTCAATAATACGCTTCTATCCACAGAACACGGTTTTGAATCTGTAGTTTACTTAATAAAAATCAAAGGTGGTCCTACCTTAGATTAACAGAAAGAAAGTTTCTGTTTAGGCCTGAAGTTAATAAAACAAATGCTCTAAATCATTATTTTGCTGTTGAATATGAAGTAAATAAAGTTACAACTTAATTAAGGCACTAATTTATTTTTAATGCAAAATTTTGTAACAAAAATCCTCTTAGTCTAGTCTCAGGTGTGCTGACAGCCTAAAGTTTTTAAAATAACACTAACCCTACCTATGAATGTATCTATGGTTTCTGAACCTCCTGGTTTATACGTGATATTTACTCTCAATGATATCAACATAGAAATTGCAAGCTTGGAAATTACTTTCTGAACAGAAGATATTGCACTTCTAATCTTGTTATTGCATTGCTTCAGATAGCTTCTGAGGTCACCACAGATGCAGAAGGAGTCCTTGCAGATCAGAAAAAAATATTCTTCACAAGACAAAGGTCAGAATTCCTCTTTAGCTTCATATGAAAGGTCCTGGTACAGAAAAAAAACCTTTTCTTTTTAGTCTCGAGTGTTTGAGACATAAATTAATTTTGAGACATAAATTAATTTGGGACTAAAAGAGTCCAAAATAGCATGTCAGTCCAAATCACACAATTTTTAGTGAACCACTGATTAAGATGGAGTTCAGATCGATCAGCTGAGCTGAGGCCAGTGCCTGTAAAGAGCTGTGCTCCAATTTAGTCAAGTGGGTTTAAAGGGACACTTGAGAGTGACCTGCACACACTTGGAACATATGGGCCAAGAACTTGAGCCCTTTTCTAATATGTCTTAGAGTTGCAGTTCAGCAGGGCAAGCTATAACCACACTCACAGCTCTCCAATACCCTGATTCCTGAATTTCTAGGGGGAAAAATTTAACTGGGAATATAAAATGTTTACTTTCATATGCAATTTGTGTTGAATCCAGTTCACTTGTAATTATTGCTGGCTTTCCTGATCATCCACAATATCGTTGCTTTTTAGTTTTTTAAATAGAAGAAAATGTTTGCTGAATTCATATAGGTAGAAGGTATGTGAGCTAGAGCGTTTGCTGCTCCCTTTCACTTTGTTTCTTTTCAGTGCCAAAAATGCTTAAAAAGAAGATGAGAGTTTGGTTATACAATAAGAACAAAAAAAAAAAAAAAAAAAAAAAAAAAAAAAAAAAAAAAAAAAGGGGGGTTGTAATTTT